AATCCTTTCTACCTAAGTGAATTTAAATTCATGAGAGAATTATAATTGACAATCTACTCTTAGTTGTGGTGTTTGCAGAGAGAGAGAGAGAGAGAGAGAGAGAGAGAGAAAAGAGGACGTTAATTTCCCTAATTGGCTCATAAGTGTCGAGCCCTATGATTGAGGAAAGCTACAATTACCCATGACAACTGCCATAAAGTTCAAACTTGAAAAGGTACGACGTAAAATCTACTGACGACCAACAGGCTAGTTTCTTTCAAAAGAATTCAGATAACACGATTTAAATTCACGGTTAATTGTCCTGATTCTAAGCTCGCGTGACGCGTTCGCTTTCTCGTATTTAATTCGATTGAACAAAAAAACTGTATGGAAAGTTTGTAACGTTCTTTGTTAATTCAAAAACACAATGCTCCTATTTTTTGTATGTAATTTTTAACAATAGTAAATCTAGAACGAAGATAAATAATAATTAAACCGGTTATTCAGAGATTAATGAACATTTTTGAATATTTTTTTATTTGTAATAAAATAATATTCGTTTATGAATAAAAATTTTGCTGAATCATTGTTAAAAGTATGTAAAATAATAAAAATTGAGCATACGATAACAATAGTTTATAGTAAAAGTTTAAAATAAATTTCTTGAGAACGTGGTACAATTACAAGTAAATATATTGGATTAGGATATTGACCAAATGGTTGAGAAACTCTGTTCTAGACTACCTGGAAGTAAAACGTTAAAAAAAATGAACAACCGATAACATCCGCATATTCTTCTGTGTATTTATGAAACGTGCCCCTGTCCGCATCGGATTGGAAATAGTCAAGGGAACGCTTGGTATATTGATGATACCATCCGGCAATGATAAAGTACGAGGAACCGTGGTTCGATTTATAAACTATCGATTATTTTCTCTTACCAACGGGTTTAAATCGCAATGAGATCAATGACATAGGGAACACGTGCGTTGCTCCGTAACAGATCTGACTCGTGACATAACTGATGTTCTTACGTACACTGCAATTTTCTATTACTAAATGTGCTAGCGTGACGAAAGGATAACGAATAACAACAAAATTAATTAATATTCTTTATCGCGTGATAACACTGACAAATCGATAACAAACCATTGTCATTGTAATTAAATATAATAACGTGATGTTTTAAATAAATTCAATTATTGTAATAACATATGTGCAATCTTTTTCTTGTTAGTATTAGAACTTCATCCTATTATCCCTGAGAGCAGTTACTTTTTTTTTATCGAGGGTAGATTGCTAGCCTACGAACCCTCGAACCCTCCTCCTTTATCTGGGCTTGGGACCAGCTAGCTAATACCTAGTTATCTAGATATTAACTAGTCGGAGTTACATGTACAATAATAATCCGAAAAAAATAAAACAAAACGTAACCAAATTTTACCCCTAACCCTTCTTACAATTACATCAAAATTCTCCTTTCCAATTTATTATAAATAAAATATAAAATATATATTCGATAACAAAACGATGAAAAAGTATTAAACATCGTAAATAACTCTAATTATCGATCTCATTTGAATAATCAATTGAACTACTTACAAGGTACTTTATCTACACGCCCCACCGACACCTACATTGACGGGACGACGTCGATATCAAGATTAAAGTTAAAAAAAAAAAAAAGATAATCTTAAATGATCATTGCAATAAGGCTAATCTATCGTGACCGATCGATTACATCGCATTATCGCTATTATCGAAGTTACCTCAGGGCAAAATTTATACGGTAAAAGATCTCGCGACATATTTTCATGATTTATATTTTGCTAGGCCATAACAAACTCGTATTTTGTATCTTCACGTATATGTGCAATACACATATATATACATATATATATTGTAATATATATATTATATATATTATATATGTATCTCCGGACTGATTTGAAACTGGTTTATGAACTTAAAGTCTACGAAGAGAAAATGTATATACTATACCAACCTTATAACGCATAATAGCATAATAACGGTCATCTGTGGTACGATAGATGGACAGACAGACAGACAGATATTACGGGGGAGAAAGAAAGATCGATCGTACCGTTGTCGATAGTTCTCTTGCATTAGTTCAAATCTTGACACGTATGAATTACTACTTTATTACGCTGACATGGACGAACTCCATTATCCCTGTTTTTCTACCCTTTTAACTCGTTAGATATTTTCTCTCTCTTGATAGGTTGAAATAAATAAATGTATATTTGTACTTAAAAAATGTATTTTCACGTGGTACTTAAATTTGACATTTTACGATAAAGAAATGAGTTGAAAAAAAAAATATGTAAAATTGTTTCTTAGAAAAGAAGTAACAACATAGAATAACGGTATTGTCTATTATTGGCTATACACACGTTACTGTTGCTCGACATTGTCTTAACAGTTACATTGTCTCTCTTTTTCTCTTCTATTATAACAATGAAACAACCAACAAGTAGAATTAGTAGACGTAACGTCTGGAACGTTAATGAAACTCACTTGCTTGGATATATTCGTACACCAAACACACTTCGTCTAAAACTAATTGTAAATGACAAGACATCATTTAGTAAATAATTTTAACTATGACGACGAAAGTAATACTAAGCTTTTTTTGCTTTCTTCGTTTACCGACAAGACGTAATAAAACATATTACGTTTTTTTTTATTCTTCCCGTTTTCTTTCACTTAACCTCGAATCTCATCGCATTTGCCATTTACAGTTAATTACAAGGTCGACTACTATCGTCTCTCGTTTTCAATGCTTTAGTCCTTTTATTGTTAATTAATGGTAAGTTTGTTAATTGGTAGGGTACGATCTCCAATAAGTAAAGGGTATAAAAAATATGAGAGAGGAGAGGAGAGAAGAGGGATATATTCAATAACGTGTTATTAAATCTCGTTAATTACTCGTATCCTTCGATAAGAGGATATTATCTTAAATTATGCCAACTTCTTATTATATTCTTAATCGTTAATAATTTTTCTCTTATTTTCTTGTAAATATTGAGTTATTCGAACAGTAATTTCGTTGTTTCCTGACACATTAAAGACATTAGTTAATGAATTTATCAAATTTAACTGTTTATGACCACTTGAAAGGCCTAGGTTTAATCTAGAAGAAAAAATTGTCTTTTCATTTTTACAAAAGAAAAATGAAATTACTTTTAGAACAACCCAATAATATAAAATGACCATCGAAGAGAAAAATGACTGAATGGTAAGTTAAATATTTATGTTTCAACGCACCTGTCTGTCTACTGATAAAACACGAAGAAATCGAAAGTATTGTATTTTATTATCGTCAAAAGGAAATGGACAAGTATAGTTAAAAACCCGAGGTCGGGTAGACGTCGAATAGACAATGAGACATACGACGAGCTGAACGTACTCGTGAGCATTAGGATAAAAATAGTTGACCCGCTTCAAAATGCGCGCCGTAACGTTTGAAAGTTTTCGCTTTGAACGAACTAAATGAACAAACGTGTGGGCCAGTAAGACACTTAGTACTTAAGTAAAGTGGTTAAATGACGTTACTACAAAATGTAACTAACTAATGTGTAAAGAAAAGATAAAATATACATAACATCAATTAAGAAAACAAAAAAATCATTTAAATATGAACTAGATGGTAACCGTTTAATAAAATATAGAACATTTACACACGACACGATTATGATAATCATCAGATTTAATAATTACAAGTTTACTAATACAGCTTTCCACGTATAAGTAGTACATCTAACTCGTATTTATTCGCATCTTAGATTCCATTAGATATTTTATTAAATTTATTATAGTTCAGGAACGAAATTAATACACCCTTGTATCTTCCGTATTTTTTAACAGGTTATTTCCAAAAAGTCCGTAGGGTATTTCCGAAAAGTCCGTAGTGTATTTTCGAAAAGTTCGTAGGGTATTTCCGAAAAGTTCGTAGGTCCGTTAGAACGAGACATGATCAAGTGCACGCGTACTTTGCGGAAATTTAAAGTCGATTTTCTCGAAAACAAAGCCTTAAACGAAAATTTTTTTTTTTTTAGATTTTCGATTTATTTCTTTATTTAGCATCACCCCCTTTTCGCTTGTACCACCAATTACAGATTACCCTGTATATAATATATAATAATATTATTATATTTTTATATAATATATACTATATTATATTTTAATACAATATATATGTATATAATTATATTATTTAATATAATAATTATTGATATAGAAAATTTTATATCATTTTATCGTTGAAATTATGCTATAAAAGTTACACAAGAGTTAGAAATAATTATGTCAAATTAACCGAGATATCTTATATGGTCTTTTATTATTTGAATAATCATACCATCAGCTTACTTTTTGGGTTAACGCATCGTCGTTAAATTCCATTGACGTATGCAATTAGCGATTGTTGTTGTATGGAGCGATAATTTCTTCCAAGCTTTTTACACACACTATCTTTCTCTCTTTTTCATACTCTCCTCTCGTTCTCACGTTCCACCATTCGCAACGTTTTAACGCGACCTATCTGCGACATTAAGCGAGAGGAATATCCACATTACGTAAGTAACATTAACGACTGGTGTTAGATTCGATCTTGGTGGTGGCACGGTAATGAATACTTTTGCCATATTCTTATTGAATAAATATTGCTACGAAAATTCTTTCTTCTTCTTTTACTCTAACGTGATGTGAAAAGAAAGAAAAAAATAAGCAAATTTTACAATTCATGGTAATTATTTAAACAACAAATATTATGTTGTAACAAATTTATCATTTATTTAACATAAGTAACCTATTAAACTCTCTGTACAGTATATTTCACGTTGTTTACAATTTTTACTGAAGAAAATATTACATCGTATATAACGATTGGTTTATATATCTTTCATCGATTAAAAAGATCTAAGATAATAAATTAAATTAAATAAAACACATGGTATGTTAATAAAATAAAATTATTGAAAACGTGACAACGACCGGTGTATAATGTGTGTGTGTGTGTGTGTGTGTTTCTATTATGAAGTATCACGACAGATTGAATTGTTTTCCTAACGTTCATGGTAACTCGTGCGTGCGTTATTGTTTACATGCTCGTAAGTCAAGTTCTAAAGTTGGAATCGATATGATCATGGGTTTACAAATAATGTTATTGACGATAGATATCCTACGCTTGATCGCTCCATCTGAGGATGAATGAAACGTCCCTATTTGGTTCGAGAAACAAGTTCTTCAATGAAGACCTCCATGTACGAACGTACAGGTTTCCTTCTTTCAACTCTTTCCCCTTTCTTTCTTTATTTATTTCTTTATATTCTTCCTTCAACTCTTCTTTGCTTCACAAAGACACATTCCTCAAGTAGATACTACAAGAAAAAAAATAATACAACTTGTTATATTTCACGTTTTCCATTCAATTTGACCATAGTGATCTCTTTAAAAGAATTTACCATAAACACCCATCACTCTTTCTCTCTCTCTCTCTCTCTCTCTTCTTATCTATGTATCTTTCGAAAGTAAAACGATCCCAGCTGTATATTCACGCTCGAAAGAGTACAACATATCTGAGAAATGCACCATACCTACATATACATATATATA